AGTGGCTTGTTCTGGGATCCTGGAGTTAAAGCCAGCCACACACAGCCTGGGCCTGTCCCTGCTTGTTTTGGGCAATAAAGGGGCTGAGCGCCAAGCAAAGCATGACTCAAACACAGCTCTGTAGAAAAGTATTTTCCCTGCTGGAGGTTAGAAAGGCCTGAAGTGAATCTCCTTTAATTCTGCATGGCAGAGATGCAGGAACAGCTCCTGTTTGCCACGAGCTCACAATGCTCCCACACAAAGAGCTGCTCTGACCACCTTGCTGTGGGACACCAAGGATGTGGTCAGGAACAAAACAACTGCTGGACTGAGAACCACGGGAGAAAAATAGATCAAAGGAGCAGGAAGAAAGCCAAGGTTGTTATTCATTATTACTGACAAAGCAGCTTTTAAAATTAAACCCCTGAAAATAAACAAGTCAAACCTTTTTTAAAATGAAACTGCCAGTTCTTCCTGCCAGTGCAGGAGCTCAGAAGGATCCACTCAGTACAAGCAGCCAGGCAAAACCCACTTGTGAGCTGGGAATTCCCTGGCAGCACCCAGCTGGCACAGCCTGACCCTGCAGCACTCGTTCCTCTCTGGAAAAAGGAGGGTTGTGGCACGGGCAGGCACAGCTGCTGGCCAGCCTGGGCTGTCCAAGTGGCACAGGGTCATCTCCTCAAAAGCAGAAGCCTCAGGCACCCTCCTCTGCAGGCACAACAACCCCCAGCACACATTCCCAACAAAAAGTGGGAATTGTCATACATTCCCAACAACCCTCCTGTTCCAGACAGGAAGGAGCAGAGTAGGAACCCTGAGGTGGGAATGGTCTGGAGCAGCCAAAGCCCCCCAGTGCTCTGGGTGTGATTTTAACATCACAACAACTCCTTCTCCTGAAGAGAGGAGCTGAGTGTTTCTCCTGCCTCCCTGTGTTAACATTTACTGACAGCAGATCCTAAAGGATTTCAATTCCCCCAGGAATTTCTGCAGGCCCCCCAACCCCGAGAGCTCCCAGAGCTGCCCTTTCAGAGGGACTGGGAGCTGTGCCTGCAGTGACCCTGAGGCAGCAGGGACACAGACCTGCACTGCAGGCTCCTGTGGTTAAACAGCAGGACTGGGACACAGAACTGGCACTGTCCCTTCCTCTGTCACTGCAGTGCAGCTCCCCCTGGGCACTGCTGCTGCGGAGGACCACGGGCTGCACCCAGCCACCTCCCCCTGAGGAAGCTCCAGGGGCAGGTGACTGGAGCTCAGGCACCAAATCCTGCAGGCACAAAGTGTTCTGGGATATTTCCAGTGTTCTGGGATATTTCCAGTGTTCTGGGATATTCTAACAGCCTCTGGGAGCTTCCCAGAATAGCTGCACCGTGCCACTGGGCTTCCTGAAATTGTTCTGGAATAGAGCTCCAGGGTATAAAATTGATTTCAGACAGGTTTTTGTTAATTCTAGTTCCAGTCCTTGGTCCCATCTAGAGGCACAGCAGACACAAGCATTGCCTGGTTTTCCTGGGGAGCAGCAGGAGGCACCTGCAGCCTCACACACCTACCTTGGCTTCATAAAGGAGAGGTCCATGGAAGCAAAGCACTCGCTCACCTGCAAGGGAAGCAGAGGAACAGCTCAGAGCTCCAGAGGGCCTTTTCCAGAACCTGTGTCATCAGGAACAGCACAGAGCCAGCCCAGGGCAGCCTGGGGAGCAGCTCCAAGGCAGGAACTGACTGCAGCAGCAAATTCACTCTCCACCAAAGGGGATCAGGGCTGTGATTATTTGGATTATTTGGATGCCAGAGCAGAGCTCCCTGAGGAGTGCAGGAGCAGCTGCACACAAACAGCAGTGCCAGCGACCTGGGCAGCACCTGGCACCAAACCCCACATCTCTGCCCCTCCCTGAGCCACCAGCACTGCCAGACCTCCCCCCAGCCCCAATTCAGGCCACAGCCCCACACCAGGCTGGGCTCAGGCACTCCCAGGGAAAGCTCTGAGGGTCGGTGATGCAGGACACTCCTCTGAGGGTCAGTGATGCAGGACACTCGTCTGAGGGTCAGTGATGCAGGACACTCGTCTGAGGGTCGGTGATGCAGGACACTCCCAGGTAAGGCTCTGAGGGTCGGTGATGCAGGGCACTCTCAGATAAAGCTCTGAGGGTCAGTGGTGCAGGACACTTCCTCAAGAGCCCACCCTGCAGCTGAAAGCCGCTGAAACCCTAACCCTAACCCTGTCCTTCTCCTGCAGCACGAGCAGCACCAGTGCTCCCAGTTCAGGGCAGTTCAGAGCCCCAGGCTGCTTCCCCACCCAGCCTGTGGGACAGGCCAGCAGCAGAACATCCTCACTCCGGGGTTTTAAACAGGATGAGATTGTGCTGGTTTTATCTCCTCTCTGGCCAAGCCTCACAGTGTGGCTGCGCTGTGGGAGGCACATCTGAGGCCACACAGATATTCCTGGGAGCTGCAGTGCCTCACCCTTCTGGGGAGATGAGCTGCAAACTGTGAAACAGTGAAACAGCCTCTGTGTATCAACAAAGAGGAAGGCTCAGAAGGGCTCTCCCGGAGCCCCGGTACATCACACAGTCTCTGCTTTTATTTCAAAATGTCCCTACAGAGAGGGCTGACAAGCAGAGGTGACATTTCCACCCTCCCTGTCACAGGGCTGCCGGGAGACACCTCCGCTCCAGCGTTTCCCAGGAGAGATGCCCACAGCTACCGAGGAACATTCATTTTTCAAAACCACACGGACGATCTGCAGAAAGGGCTCTTTGTCTCTGTGATAGCCCGGCAGGCTCCGGCTCCCTCACACCAGGGCTGTCCCCTGCAGCCACACGCTGTTCCTCAAAGCAAAGATCATCCCTGCCGTGGGCAAGGACACCTTCAGTGCCCCAGGCTGCTCCCAGCCCTGTCCAACCTGCCCTCGGACACTCCAGGCAGGGGGCATCCATCTTAAACTACATTGCTATTTTTATTTATCTCACTTACATTGCTCTCAACCGCGACCATTACCTAAAAATCAAAATACAGGCAGGAAAATCCTCCTAAAAAGCCCAATTCATCTTCCTTCACCTAAACCCTGGGCTCTGCTGCAGATGTGGATTCCAGCTGTGCCTCCATGGATCCTGCTGCTCCCTTCCAGGGCACGATAAATAACAACCACCTTTCAAACGCATTAAAATAAATCCCCCCGACAATCCAGAGGGGATTGCAGCACTTCTAATGTCCAATGTCCGCGCAGGAAAACCCAGGATATTTGGAACAGCGGGGTGGGAAGGGCCCGCGTGTTATTGCGGGGGAAGAGGAGGGTCAGGAGGAGACAAAGGCTGCGGGAATTCCTCTTCCCCACCTATTGGAACCTCCGGGGCCGGGCAGGGAGCGAGGAGAGCCCAGCCCGAGCCCGGGCCCGGGCCCGAGAGGCGAGGCCCCCGCGCCGGCCGCAGCCCCGGGCCCGGCCCGCCCGCAGCCCCGAGCCCTGCCGCACTCACCCTCCTGGAACTTGGGCTTGGGGTCCTGCTTGGGCGCCATTTATAAGGGCCGGTCCCTCCTCCGGCCGCTCCCCGCGGGGCCCCGGCGCTGCCCGGCCCGGCCCCGGCGCTGCCCGGCCCGGCCCCGCCGCGCAGCCGCGCCTCGGGCATGCCGGGACATGCAGTCCGCGGGGCTGCGGGGGCGGCTCGGCTGCCGAGCCTGGGCTGCCCGCGCCGGGAGGAGCCGGCCCGCGGGGTGGGGAGAGTGAAAAATTACTAAAAAACGAGACAGAAAAGAGGAAAAGGCAATTCGCCCAACGTGGGGCTCGAACCCACGACCCTGGGATTAAGAGTCCCATGCTCTACCGACTGAGCTAGCCGGGCGCCACGCGCACCCAGCGGCCGCCGCGGGTGTCGGCAGCGGCCCCCCCCTCCCCCGGCCCCGGGCGCTCCCCGCGCCGGCCGCCAGAGGGCGCGTGCCACGGCTGATTTGCATATTTAACATCCTCGCCTAATTAAACGTTATCCCAAAGCCGGCGGTGTGGAGAGCCGGGACGTGCGGCCCGCCCGGGTAAGCTGTGGGATGCCGGGGTCGCGAGCAGCCCCCGAGGGTTTCATTAATAGCGCCGGCTAATTCCGGTTGTCTGGTCCCGGGGCGCTTTAACCTGAGAGAAACTAAAAAGAGGCAGCTACGAGCAGCCCCGACTGAGGACGGGGGGACATGGCGGACAAACACCTTTTTTCATTTTTGACCGAAAATTCGCTGAATTTTTGTGATTTTTTTAATCGCAATGCTCACGGCGGGGCAGCCGAAGCAACGCGGCAAAGGAGCGCCAGGGGGCGCCATGGGCCACGGCGGAAACGCGGAGCATAAGCCCCGCCCCTTGCTGTGCATAACCACGCCCACCTCATCTGCATAACCCCGCCCACATGAAGTGCATTGATGCCTTCAGAGGCTGGGCCGAGTTAAAGGAATAAAATGGGGATTTATTAAAAACGCCTTCCAAGGATGCACCTTGGGCAGCCCAAGAGCCCGGCCGAGGCTCCACCCAACATGGATTGCAGGTCACGAGTTTTCACACTTTGATCGGTTTTGGTTCATTTCCATAGTGGGGTTAATTGTGCAATTCCAGCCTCAGGTGATGCAGTCCCACCCTCCCAGATTGCTCTCCTCAGTTCATTGCTGGTCACACTTTCTGGGCCCGGAGCTGTAACGGTGTCCTTGGTTCTGGGGCTGGAAAAGGACTGGTGTGTGTGTGTGCCTGAGCTGTGAGGAGACCCTGCTGACACTGTGTGTGGAGTTCAGAGCTGTGAATGCAGAAACTGGAAAATGTGAGAGCTGAAACTTGAGGCATCAGTGTAAACCCGCCCATCTGCTGTGCATAGCCCCGCCCACTGTTGTGCATAGCTCCGCCCATCTGCTGTGCATAGCTCCGCCCATCTGCTGTGCATAGCCCCGCCCATCTGTTGTGCATAGCCCCGCCCATCTGCTGTGCATAGCCCCGCCCCCAGCCCGTGGCCCCGCCCCCCGTTGTGCAGGGCCCCGCCCGGCGCGGACCCCAGCCCGCCGCAGCCATGGCGGCCCCGGCCGCGCTGCGCCCGCTCCTGCCCCTCGTCCCCGTGGCCGCCGCGCTGGCGCTGGCTGCGGGCGGGGGCATCGCGGGGACAGGTCCGCGGGGACAGCACGGCGGGGACCGCGGGAGGGGCGCGGGGTCCCGCGGGGAGGAGCGCCGGGTGTCGGCGGCGAGGCGGGCGGGATGTCCTGGAGCTCCCGGTGTCGGCGGGGCTGAGCGCCCGGTGTCGGTGGGGATGAGCGGGATGAGCGCCCGGTGTCGGCGGGACTGAACGGGATGAGCGCTCGGTGTCCCCGGGGCTGAGCGGGATGAGCGCTCGGTGTCCCCGGGGCTGAGCGGGATGAGCGCTCGGTGTCGGCGGGGATGAGCGGGATGAGCTCCCGGTGTCGGCGGCGATGCGGGCGGGATGCCCGTGGAAATGAGTGCCGGGTGCCGCGGGGATGCTCGCGGGGCGCTCGGCGGGTCGCAGAGCCCGGTGGCCCCGCAGCTGCCGCGCTCGCCCCCCGGGCTGGGCACGGTGGAGCCCCGGTGCCGGTCCCGGCTCCCCGCGGCCGCAGCGCTGAGCCCGGGCTGGGCAGGCTCCGGGGCGGTCCCTGCCCGGGAGTGCTTTGCCTTTAGAGACGGCGTCCCCAGCATCGTCTCAAAGTGGGGATTTGATTTTTGCGGAGTTTGTTTCGTTGTTTGTTCGGTGATTTTTTTACTGGCAGCCGGAGTTTAACAGCGGGAGCGTGTGCGTGGTGACCGGGGCCAGCCGGGGCAGAGCCGAGCTCCGGAGCTGCCTGACTCCCCTCACCCTGACCTTCACGCTGCCCCCCGGCAAGCCCCAGCCCTGACCCGGGGTCGCTGCTGTCCCTGCTCCGTGCCGTCCCGGTGGGCTCCGGTGACCAGACCCAGCTGCGGTCCCTGTCCCCACGGGAGGAGGGAGTGTGGGGGGAAAGGTGAAGAATCCCGCAGGTAACCACTGCACCCCCTCTCCCCAGAGCCGCCCCCGCCGCGCTCCGCCAGCGACATCGTCCATCCCATCAAGGTCGACGAGAGCGGATCCTTCCTGTCCTACGACTTGTCCCACCGGGCCCTCCACCGGCGGTCTCCGGCCTCCAGGAGCAAGCTTCCCGCCTTCTATGAGCTGCAGTACCGAGGGCAACCCCTGAAATTCAACCTGAGCCTCAACAGGCACCTCCTGGCTCCGGGGTTTGTCAGCGAGAGGCGCTTCGGGGGCATCGCCGGTGCCAAGATCCAGCCTCACTCCTACAACTCCTGCCACATGATCGGGGAGGTGCGGGGCCGGGCGCTGCAGCGGGGGCTGGCTGCCCTCAGCACCTGCGATGGGCTGGTGAGTACAGCCCCGAGCCACCCGCAGCCTCAGTCCATGGGGGAATAGCAGGAGCGGGGTGAAACCCTTTGTTCTGCCAAAAGTGGCACCAAAATTCTGAGCAGCAGCAGCAGCAGCGGCAGCAGCATCTCATCACAGGGGTGTGGCACAGCCATGGATGAGCTGACTGAATTTCCCATGGGTTGCAGTGGTTTGGGAGCTCTCTGGGGATGGATTTACCTGTTTGGGATGTTGGGAAGTTCTTCCCTGGCAGGGTGGGAAGAGGCTGGGCTGGGATTCCCAAAGCAGCTGTGGCTGCCCCTGCATCCCTGGCAGTGCCCAAGGCCAGGCTGGACATTGGACTGGAGCAGCCTGGGACAGTGGGAGGTGTCCCTGCCATGCAGGGGTGGCACTGGGGGGGATTTAAGGTCCCTCCCCACCCGAAGCATTCCGTGGTGCTGTCATTCCGTGGTCAGTCCCAGTGCCAGGCTGCTCAGGGTGAGCTGGGGTGGCCTCACGGTGCCACTTTGTGTCTCCCTGGCAGAAAGGTGTGTTCCAGCTGATGAACGAGGACTATTTCATCGAGCCCGTGTCCAGCAGCCCTCGGGAGGAGGGGGCAGCACAGCCCCACAGGATCTACAAGCGCCAGGTGCCCAAGGACAGGGCGGAGCAGGGCAGGAGAGCCCCGGCCCCGCGGGAATCCTGCGGCGTGCGAGGTACTGTCCCTTCCTCTGGGCAGGGTCTGTGACACCAGGGACCTGCTGGGTCTTGCTGGACCTCAGGCCTCTCGCCCTCATCTGCTCCCAGCCCTGCTGCAGGCAGGGGGATGATGTGCAGACAGAGCATTTGCTTGCATTTCCATGAAAACTTTGCTCTGTGACCTGCCAGGGCATTGGACTTTGGGAGTGGAACTCGGTCGCTGCCCCAGGAGCTCCCACTGTGGGCAGAGTGCATGTGGGTCCTTCCCTGAGCACAGCAGATGGGCTGGATAAACTCCTAAATGCAGGATTTCAAGTGTTGGGGAATTCAGTGCATTCCCAGAAGCTCACGGGCACTTTACTCCCTGATGGAGCTGCAGTGCATTACGTGCTGCACATTTCCTGGAGCTGTCTGCTTTCACAAACTGGGGTTTGCTTCTATAATAGGGTTATCTTCAGGCATTCTTCTGATAATCTAAATTAATTATTTAATCTGTGGCAATAATCTTAATGGCTGCTTCTAGGCTTTGAAGTCTGTTCTTGACTCAAGTCCATTCTGGACTTTGAAGTCTATTCTTGCAAATTAATTTCTCTGGGTATAGCATGGCCTGTGTGTAGCTCATGTGGATCTCCTCTGTAATCAGGGCTAGCGGGGTGGGTGTGCTGGGCATGCCCTGGAGAGGAATCCCAAAGGAATCCCAAAGTCTGTAGGATTTTGGTGACTGCCATCCTCTCCTTGAGCTCTGCTGGTGGTTCTTTGCTTTGCCCGCCACAGGCAGATGCTGCTGGTGTTGTTCAGCTCCTGTCAAAGCCCAGGGCTGCTCAGCTGGGGGCTGTTTGACAGGGATCATCCCGGGGGAAATGCCCCAGGAGCCCCCTGGGAGCTCAGGGACACGATGGGAAGGAGCTCTGAGGAAGCTGATGGGATCAGACTGTCACAGCAATTGGCCAAGAGGTCCGGATAGCTGGGATTTTTCAGGCTGGGGGGTAAAACACCCTTTCACAGCACACGTTCAGTGCAGCCCAGGAAATGTGGGAGACCATTGTCAGGGAAGTGAGGCTGAGCCCTCTGAAACTGTCCATGAAAGCGATTCCCACTGTGTGGGATGAGGTTTGTAAAGCCTTCACCCGGCTTGGGGCTGACCTTGACCTCGCTCTTGGAGCCACGTCACAGGAAAAGTCCCCGCTGGAGAATTCCCAGTGGCTGGTGTGCGTGAGGAGCGCCCAGCTCTCCTCCTCCTCCTCAGCCCCACCAACATTCCCGGCTTTCCCCTGGGGAAGGAGCAGAGTCCGGGTCTCTGAGGGGATCTCTGTGCTGGCCTGCAGTGTCCCTGCCTGCCAGTCCGGCTTTGGGGGCACAGAGTTTATCCTGATGGGAACTGTCCCTTCCTGAAAAGTTCACATTGGGGGTGACCCAAAACATTGAGCCACCGGGGTTTTTTTCTCAGGCTGTTTCTCAAGCACCTCTGCAGGGCTGTCTGTAAACTCCTGTGCCCACACAAACGCTAAGGCTCTGCTTTGGGAGGCTCCCTGTTCCTTGTGGAATACTGCAAACCCTCTTCTGGTCAAAGAAATTCTTTCAAATACTTTGTTTATTGTTTTTGTGTCCTGCTCACACGCAGCAGGCTGAGCTCAGAGTCCTTTGGAACAGAGCACAGCAAAACGCACATGAGTTATTGAGTTATGGGTCTAAGCCTGGAGCCTTCTCCACATCAAAGATGATTCCTTTGGACTAAAAAAGAAGATATTAAAGTTGCAGGCATTTTCTCAAGGAAAAAAGTCCTTTTTTTCCCCTTGAATGGCTCAGAGTCTCGGGAAGGCCTGGAGCGGTCTGAGCGGCGCAGGGAGAGGTGGGAGCAGAGGCAGCAGAGGAGGAGAAGGATCAAGCGGCGCTCCATCAGCAGGGAGAAGTGGGTGGAGACGCTGGTGGTGGCAGACACCAAGATGGTGGAGTTCCACGGCAGTGCCAACGTCGAGAAGTATGTGCTGACCGTCATGAACATGGTGAGTGCACGGGGAGCCGCGGAAAGGCCTGGAACGCCCCGGGTGGGGAGGCACTCGGAGCTCAGCCAGGCCCCCCCTAGCACGGGCAGGGCCACCTTCCCTGGTGTGGTTCCTTCCCCCCGTGGAGGTGCCAGAGGACAGCTGAGGCGAGGAGAGCCAGGTCCTGATGGTCTCTGCTGGGAAGCTGGGGGGCTCTGCTGGTGCCAAGCAGGAGAGGGGGTGGCTCAGTCTGGCCCTCTGCTCACCTCTGCACCGCGGAGAAAAGCTTTGGTTGATGCCAGGAGAGGGTGGGATTGGGCAGAGGACCTCAGGTAACATCCCCGGGTTTCTGGGGGGTGCTGAAGGCACCCAAAGATGTTAAGGTATCCTTTGAGATGTTAAACACTCCCAATAGGAGTGAGAGCAGAGGGGTTCCCCGGGCGTTCCTGGCTGAGTTCCAGTGTCTGCACTGATCCCATCAAGTGTAAATGGATTTCATGGCCCGTGTCTGTTCTTGCCTCCCATGCGGGGAATTCCTGAGATGCTGTCGGCAGCCTGCAGCAGCTTCCCCTGCAGGAGCTGCTGGTGCTGCAGCTGGAGGTGGCAGCAGCAGTGTCCTGGCTGCTCTGTGACCCAGCTCTGTCCCCGTGGCTGTCCCACTGCAGGTGGCCGGGCTGTTCCACCACGCCAGCATCGGGAACCCCATCAACATCGCCATAGTGCGGCTCATCCTGCTGGAGCACGAGGAGGTGAGGGCCAAACTGCGCCAGGCTGGGCTGGGCTGGAAGAGCAGGCTCCCTCCTGGGCTGTCCTCGTGGCCTGGCCGAGTGTGTGGGGGAGAAACCCACGTTTGCCTCCTTGTCCTGGCTGTAGAGCCAGGGATGGCGTGGGCAGAGGAGCTGCAGAGCCCAGGTTTTGGGGTGGTTTGTGGTGGCAGAGGGCTCTGGGTCACTGGGTGGTTCTGTCCAAGCTGTCCTGGGGGGCCTGAGGCCACTCAGGGTCTCCACAGCCACGTCCTTCTCTCTCAGCCAGCACAGGGGGTTTTCTGCAGTGGTTCTTGACCCCTGTTACTGGAGGATTTAATGTTTTGGTTGAATCACAGATGAAAAGACAGCAGGAAAAGGGCTGTCTTCCCACCCAGCCTACAAGCCATAAACATGGAGCAATTCCATCTGGATGGCAGTCACTCCCACCCTGACGTGTCTGGGGTCAGACCCCTCCCCATCCCCAGATCCAAACAGCTCCAGCACATCTCCCTTTATGTTGGCAGGAGGACCTGAAGATCTCCCACCACGCAGACAACACCTTGAAAAGCTTCTGCAAGTGGCAGAAGAGCATCAACGTGAAGGGAGACTCCCACCCCCTGCACCACGACGTCGCCGTCCTGCTCACCAGGTGTGCAGCCCACGCACAGGTTTGGGGCTGTGGCAGCCAAAAGCTCACCTGGCTGCAGCTGGGGGCAGGCAGGGAAACACCTCCGTGGGAGCTGCTGAAATCTCACTCTCCCTGCCTGGACACAGCGTGTCAGGTCTGTAATGTGGAATTGGGGATGGTTCCTGACGCTGGAGCTGCTGTGGAAGGTGGCCCTGCCCATGGCAGGGGGTTGGAATTAGATGATCTTTAGGATCCCCTCCAACCCAAACCTTTCCATGAGTCTGTGATTCTCTGGGCTGGTCTCAGATCTCGGGTTTAAACCCGGGCACAGCTCCCAGTTGGGCTTTCCAAGCCAGGTTTTCACCGTGGCCCTGTTGCCAAGCCCCAGAAGGGCTGGATCCTCCCAGCAGTTGTACACTGGATTATCTCTCCTTTTTACCCTCCCAGGCTGGGCTTGCCAGAGGAGCCTCTGGGAAGCCCCTGGCCTCCCATGGAGCTGGCAGGAATTCCTGCCTCCGGCCAAGTTTGTGTACCTTGCAGTCAGAGCCTGCTTTGAGGCTTTCAGGCTGCCGTGGTCTGCCTGTCCTGGTGGTTTGGTGGTGATTCACAGCCCACAGCTGCTTTATCTTCTCTGGGAGGTTTCTTTGTAGCAGAAGTGAGGCACTTGAGGCCTTGGAGCTGTTCTTCCTGGGTGGCTGGAGCTGCCCTGGAAAACCACAGCACCTCTGGGATGTGCTTCCCCAAGGCCTTGCTTGATTATCCCCAGCATCAGCTTTATTTATACAAGGGGATAAACGTAGCCAGGCTGGCCAGCAGCTCCCATTAATCAGCCTCAGGCATGGGCTGGGGATACTGGGAGAGGAGAGGGGAAAGGAAAGGTCAGAAATGTTTCCCCTGTGGAAGGATGTTGGATGTCTCCATTCCCGCTCCTGTTTGGCCGCCGTCCGTGTGCCGGGCCCTGCCGCCTTCCAACGCCCTCTCTGCTCTGTGTCTGTCTGTCTGTCCGTGTGTCCTGGTCCCCCTGCCCAGGAAGGACATCTGTGCAGCCATGAACAGGCCCTGTGAGACCTTGGGGCTGTCCCACGTGGCCGGGATGTGCCAACCCCACCGGAGCTGCAACATCAACGAGGACACGGGGCTGCCCCTCGCCTTCACCGTGGCCCACGAGCTCGGACACAGGTACCTCCCTCCTCCTCCTCCTCCTCCTCCTCCTCCTCCTCC